TCCCTTCCTTCTTGCCATCTGGCCTAAGCTTAGACATCCTTTGGGTTTTAATTAAACACTGTGCATTCTGGAAGGCCTCCCCAGTGGTCCCCGGTGGAGTTACGTGGTCTTCCTGTATTTTGAAACTCTGTGTCTCATTAGCACTTAGCACACCGCCACACAACCTAAAGTTCCGGAATTCACTTCCACGTGAACCCTCAGGGAGCATGAGATCAAGGGTTTTATCTGTCTTGCTCCCCAGCTGATCTCCAGCATTGGGTCTGAGTATGCTATTGAATGCTTACAGCTGGATGGGTAGGGATGTGATGACTGGATGGGTGGAAGCAGGCAGGTTATACAGCAGGAGCCTACTAAGGCCATCTTAATATTGTGGAGCTACCGAGTAGTGCACAAACTCTCTTGGCTGCAGATCCCATTAAGAAAACTCCCCAAAGAGGGGATGTTACTAAATTTTGAGAATAATATAATGGAAAAGAATCCTTGTCATCTATTAGTGAAATGTCCTGAATTCACAAGAAGAGGAAGTTGAGGACAAAAGAGATAAAGGATCTTGTCAAACCACACTGTACCTTACGGTCGTCAGGGCTCTGGTGGGACTGTGGCTGGCACAGTCTCCTATGAGGATCACAGGAACCAAATAAATTCTCTACAGTTCCCGAGGTAAACAAGTCACACAGATCAGAGGGGGCAGGGGCTGCTTTGCCACATCCTCAGGGTTCCGTGTTTTTAGCTTCTAAAAACTCCAGTGAAAGATGATGAGTTCCTGGATTAGACACACAAGGCTTCTTTCTAATCTACTTGCTAGGTATTTTTCTGACTATGGCGTCCTAAGGTAGCGAGGCTGAATCAAAAATAAATTATTAGTAAACATTTGCAAGTGAGAAACAAATTATTTCAGAGCACTCAGCTCCTTCCTTCAAACACACACTTGAAATTTGTAAAGACTCTATTCTGTAAGAATGCTTGAACCTCTCCCTAAATCATAACACGGGTAAACTTACTGAAATATTTTTACAATTTTATTAGAGGTTTTAATTCATTGCTTTATCTATCTCTGTTAGACTGTAAAATAGCTTTAAATATTCAAGTGGTAATTAATGAATCTTTTATGTTGCAAATCAAACATTTTCAACTATGTGCTACTAGAGGAGCAAAGAGGAAGGTTTGGGGAAGGACCCTTTCTCCCTCATCCATGCTGTTGACCGCCATTTATCTGATATTGGGCAGTCAGTCATATCTGCTTTCTCTGCTCCGTGGGTTAATGCTCAGTGTGGACACTGTCTGCTGTCTTTCTGTAGGTCAAAATTGCCTGACATGTTGCTTGCCAGAGACATTCCCAGCTAGATGGAAAGTCTTTGGATGTGGAATTTTTGCTTGAGTGCAAAATAATAAAAAGCATGTGTATTTTTTTTTTAAAAAAGGATCAGTTTAATGGCAAATGAGCATTGGCTTAGATTAATATTCTATTACAGTCAAAACTTATATTTAATAAATTTTCTCTATCCACCCCCCTTCCCCTGAATCTCACATATTTTTCTAAGTGGCCTGCCAATATAAAGAAAGTATATATGATACATTTGATTTATGTTAAGTCAATAGCGTGTGCAAGCCATTTAAAATTGCATTTTAAGTGTAGAAATACAACCCCAAAGAAACACATACAGTGCCATACATTGAGAAGGGTTAGATGTGTTAGCCTGCTGGGGGCTGACATCCCTTCTAAATATTATTCTATTTAGAAGGTATTTTTGAAATGTGGTGTTGTGTATCAACTTGCAATAACGCAAGTACCAAATTCTGCAGTTTCATTTGGAATAAGAAAGTGAGTGGGCATTATAAACTTCACAGAACAGCAGTTTTCCTTTCCTCTGCTTGTCACTAACAAGAAATGAGTGGCTAAGAAGCTATCCAAAAGGCTCACAAAGGAGTAATGAATTCTAGACCAGAACCCTTGATGGCCACCTTGTGCTTTTCTGGGGCCCTAATTAATACTGAACTTAGTGACATTTATGTATCAGAGCAATAAGCTAAACAGGAAACAATTTATGTCACCTAAAGCTTTTTAATAAATCGATACAACTATTTGTAATTACTTGTTTTATGAGATTAAAAGTGCTCAGGCCTGATCTTCACCTATAGATTTGTGGTCAACCTGACCTGTGCTTCTGCTGAGAGAGAGAGGAGAGAGAGAGAGAGAGAGAGAGAGAGAGAGAGAGAGAGAGAGAGAGAGAGAGAGAGAGAGAGAGAGAGAAGGGTAGTTGATCAGCACAGACTTCCATCAAATAATCCATATTGCTAATATTTCTGGAATTTTAATGTAGTCACAATTTATAGCTGATCAAATGTGGTTACCTAAATTGCTGTTGGTAGTAGACAGTTTAACTGTCTATATTAATTACAGTATAATTTAATGTTTGAGTACTGCCACTTGTGTTGGTCATTTTTACAGCTCAAGTAGTTATCTGCCTTATGACGAACCATTTTAGCATTTTCAATGGAAACGTGCTAAAATGATGAGTGATAAAAATGTCACGGACTGGTAAATAATGATCATCGCCTTAGCTGAGATTAATTCTTGAAAGGCCGGTTACCTTCAATTAACATTATAACTCACAACTTGTCCTTTTCCCAGCCCGCCATCTTGGTTTGAGGCTGGGGAGCAGAGGCAACTGTTGATAGCTTCAGATGGGCAAATTAACATGTATGTATTTGATATTAAGCATCCAATATGGTTTTACTAATCAAAGGGGAAATAAAATGGTATAGGGCTGGTGTGTGTGTGTGTGTGTGTGTGTGTGTGTGTGTGTGTGTGTGTGTGTGTGTGTGTAGTATTTAAAAAATCAATGTAAGTGCTGTAGAATGATTTTGGGGTTTTTTTTGGGGGGGATTGTTTTTGTTTTTTGAGACAACAGTTTCTCTGTGTAGCTACAGTTGTCCTGGAACTCACTGCAGACCAGGCTGGCCTAGAACTTACAGAGATCTGCTTGCCTCTGCCTCCTGGGTGCTGGGATTAAGGGCGTGTGCCACCACCGCCCGGCTGAGGGATGGTTTTCTAATCCGCACATTATTCCAGTGATGCCAGCATTTTTCATTTCATTTCCTTCTGCTATGAATTGTCTTAAACTGTTCATCAGTCTAACTAGAGCCTTTAAATGAAGGTTTGAGAGCCAGCTTCGATTTGAGTAAGGAATACTTCCATTTGACTCAACTACATTGAAAAGCTAACTTGCGATTACTCGTCTTCACATTCCTGAAGATGACGGCCTAACAAGAAGGCTAACTGTATTGTTTAGCCACTTCGCTGAGGTTTGTGTCAATGCTCTCCGAGTTGCTTTGTATGCAGCTTATGCACTTTATAGGGAAGTTCCCTGTTTAATAGAAGACGCTGTATTTTGGGTTAGCTGCTTTATGTGAGGAGCAAGCTTGAAATGATTTTTTAAAAAGAGTATTCCCACTATGGAATGATTCCTGAAACGCAATTTAAAATATGGTGGGTATCAACCAGCTGAACCTCTACTACACACTCTAGTGCTTGCACAGGTCCTGGGGTGTTTTAGTACGAATGTGGATGCACAGCTAACTCACAGCCTATCCTGTGAGCAGCATCTGGGTTTAAGCCTAGCAATTAAGGGGATTTCAGTTAACCCTGATATTATATTCTTAGTAGCCAGGTGAGAATTAAAGGTTCCAATGTTTTGCTAATTATCAGACTAGGGAGCTTTTAGACTGGCCGAGCAATCAATGAGAAGAGGAAACTGATTCCAATCTTGGCAACAATATCTACTTGTTTAAAATGAAACAAAAATGAGCCAGGCATGGAGGCACATATCTGTAATCCTAACATTTGAGAGGCTGAGGCAGGAGGACTGCTGCAAATTTAAGGCAGGTTGCCTATTTTCCTAGGAGATTTCTAAACCAGACAGGACTATATAGGGAGACCCTATCTCAAAATGCAAGCAAAACAAAAACAAAAAAACCACCCCAAACAAAATCATACTGTTGTAGAAAACGTAAAAATCCAGATTCATAAACAATACAGGAAAGACCCTTGTAATCTTTCCCCCAAATGGGCAGGCACACTGCACTGGAAAGGCCTCTGTGAGGCCACTTGTCACCTCAAAGCTTTACTGATGTGCTTGGAACTATATAGATGAAATGGTTCTTATGATGCTGTGGTCTGGCCACTTACAGGATTCATTTTGTTTGTTTGCTTGTTTTTGGTTGTTGTTTTGAGACAGGGCCTATGTAGCCTTGGCTGTCCTGGAACTCACTATGTAGAGCAGGCTGGCTTTGAACTCACAGAGATCAGCCTGCCTCTGCCTCCCAAGTGCTGAGATTAAAGGAATGTGCTATCACACTCTGCAGTGCTACTTTCAGTATATTGCCAGCGAGGCTTGTGTTAAAGACAAGTTACTTACATTCATTAGTCCTTACAATATGTGTGATAGAATTAAGCTAAAGAGAAAAAGCACATTTTTCTAGAGATATAGATTTAAAAATAATCACCACAGGTGGTTTCCTGGGACCCGGGGTTCTCCATCCGGCTCTGCTATCTTCAAATCATCTATTCTAATCTAAGCGTTTATCATTATATGCAAAAGCTTTCTTGATGAGAATATTGTAGATGATGCGTGGTTTTGACGTTAGCATTTTATTTGGATGACTGATCTTGCAGATGTGAAATGTTAATGAATTATTCATAAGATTGCTTTCCTCTGAAATTTTAGTTTGGCTCTTCGTGTTAGTTATTAAACACTTTGTTGTTGTTGTTTTTTTTCTCTTTGTCAAATTTGGTGAAGAAGAGAGCGTGTTCCCTCTGACGGAGCTGGCCCCTCCACCTTTCCTTGGAACTCTTCTGCAAGTGGCTTCCCTCAGCCTGCTCGCCAGGCCGGCTGTGAATCCGGCATGGAGCAGCTGCTGCTAAGGGACAGCGCAGGGCATGGGCCTGCTACACAATCTCTGCAGGTCAGGAGTGGGGAAAAAACTTAGGCTGCGGCAACTTTGTCTACCAGTGTGAACAACCAGCATTTTTATTGCATTTGAGAATGCTCTCATGTCAGTAAATGATCACTGACTACACAACATTTTTTTTATTGTCTGTATCCACAGACATGGAATGATGGAATTACAGTTGATGTCAAGGAATGAGATTCTTTTATGCCTTATCAAAACAAAACAAAACAAAACAGTCCTTGTTAGTGGCAGCACATACAGAGAGCAGCACGCTCACAACCCAGACCGCACCAGCTCCACCCAGGCTCCTGGGTGGCAGGGACTGCATTGAGTTACAGTGGACCCACGAGACGCCCTTAGAACTGTCCATTTGCTTCGCAGGATAACAAAGTGAAACCGAGGTGCACAACACTTCCAGACTGTCCGGAGGGTCTGGCTGGCATTGACCAAAAGGTACCAGAAAGATTCAGAGTCATAAGCAGAGGCTGCTTTACGCTCCTGGAGACTGAGAGCTCAGCTAGAATGTAGAAAGGAGGAGACTTCTCAATTCGATTTTGTGGGTAATTAAAAAATAAGAGTTAGTGATTTACATTACATTTTGGTTCTATTATTTTGTTTATCTTTTAAACCAAGGCTTGCTTTATTATGGCTGATGGGAGGGATGCTGGGAATGTCAAGTCAACTGTCTTCTGATGTGGGGAGGGCACTGGCAGCTAGGTCACCATGTACGTAAGTCTTGATGGTTCACCCTTTGCTGGCCCAATATGGCAACCTAAGCCTTCTCACCTGGACAGACCCTAGGAACAAGGGCGGGTCTTTATCATGACTTTGTGAGTCTGACACATGGGCCAACCTCCCTCATGTTTGCTTGAGTTTTACTAAGAAAGGAAAGAAAAAGTAACAAATTGTCTACACCTTGGGACCTTGTAAATTTGTTTTTATACAAAAAGTTCAATATTTTCAACACTTCCCATTATTAACCACTACTTTACTGATAAAACTTTGAAAGTGTGACCCTGGAATTTCATCATGCAAAAATCTTGACTGCAGCAGGAGAGAACATTTTTTTTAAACCATTTTTTTTTCTCTTTTCAAACTTAGGAACTTCTTTTAAGATAGTCAAGAAGGCAGTGGTAGGATAAACACAAGGAACAGGAATGTATCAAAAACAGATTCACACACACACACACACACTCACTCATACACACACACTCACACCACACACACACTCACACTCACACACACCCCACCCCATGAACCTGTACAAAATGTTCCAATTAATGAGAATAGGAAACAAATCATGTCAACTATGTTACAATTACAATTTAAAAGCAAAAACAAAACAAAACAAAACGAAAAAACAACAACAAAAAAACCCCCAAAAAATCCCAAAAAAAACTGTTTTGGAGTTTCTTCTTTCCTCCCACATGTCAACATGTCATCCAATGTTCATAAATCAAGGGTAATGAAATAAAATACAGGTGCAGCATTGGCTGCAAATCTATTACATACAGTAGATTATTTCCCCCAAAGACACTGTGGCTTTCTTCTTCTTTTTTAAAAGTATCATTAATAAAATGCAGTTGCACAAAAAGCAAAGATGTTTTGACAAACAAGTGTATGCATTTATTCCTTTTTAGGAACAATACCTAAAAAATAAAATAATTAAAAAAAAAAAAAAGAAAGAAAGAGCTGCCCTCGGCCCTCCCCCACAAAAGACAAAGATTCACACAGACAGATCGGGATATATGTACAACCGCATCAACCCCATTCTAAAGAAGCGACCAGAATCCCCCCCAAGGGACAGAATCAGAATTGTAAAAATCAGAGTGAAGATGGCTTGCTGTAAAGCCTGAGAACTTTTCTTTTCTTTTTTAAGTTGGTTCTTCTGCAAGGCTGTGACACCTGCAAAGATATGTAAAATCTAATTTTTCTTTTTTCTTTATTTTTTTTGCTACAGTCTTTAGACTAAGCATGCAAGACATACAACTAAGTGCAACTGAGTGAAATGTATATTTTTAAATGTTTTCATCATTCCCTAAAGGTTTGAACTGAGGTATGCGTACTAACAGTTCTCATGCTGTTATCTTTACTCATGTCTAGCTACACATGCTGAGAATGAACTAATCTACCAGATTTTTATCCTCTTTTGAATATCTAACCAGCAACCACTCAGTTTAGAAGCACAGGCCCCCATCCCATGACCCTGCCTGGCTACTGCCTGCACATCATGAAGCTGCCTGGAAAAGTGGGGGGTGGGGGGCATGAGTAAGCACAGACCGCCCCTCTACAGAAAGCAGAGTAAAGCTTCAGAAGTAATTGCCAAAGACTTTCTAAGCTTATGAGTGGATGAGAATGTTACTTTTTTCTGTGGAAATGAAAAATGTTGACCAAATCATAATCTGAAAAAGGAAAAACAACAAAAAGCAGGAAGAAACTAGAGGATATATGATGCCAAGATCAAACAAAATCAATGCAGCGATCACAGCACAGCCCTTAAACAAAAGTGGCATACGAGTGTTCTAGAAAATCTCTTTATTCTAGAAGTGGCCTGGTGCAGTCAGACACTTTTCTGTTCTCTCTGAATTCATCCTAAGTGTCTCCTTGATTTATACACTAATTTTCGGTATCATACATTCATTTTTTTTCTTTGAGATGGTACCCCATTCTTTCCGTAGGAGCTATAATACTGTTTTCCTGTTTGTTTGTTTTCTCTGCAGTAGCCCCATATTTTCTCCTTATAGGAGTTAAGTTTTGGTCTCTGTACAGGTACAGGAAAAAAAAAGGAAAAAAAAAAAGTAAAAAACTTTGGTTCCATTGCCTACTTAGTCTGCTAAATGAATGCTGTTTGGGGGGGGGGGGCAGATTATCTCCCTTAGGTTGGCAAACAGCCTGGACCTCATCATTTGCCTCTGAACCCTTCTGCCTCCTTTGATCAACAATAAGAGGATATTTGGCTTCATCAGATAAAGCATAAAAGAAAATAATTTACCTTTGCATAATATCTTTGGTAATTTTAGAAATAAAAGGTACAAAGTATATAAATTAAGCTCCAAAAGGCTCTCAAACTAAACCCAACCGAAAGCTACAGCCCTAGATAAATAAATGCCAGGGAAGTGGGTGCAGGTGGAAAGTGTGGAGGGGTTCGAAGGGCTGAGTGTATACTGACCTAGAGCCATAGCATTCTGTGGGCCCTGGTCCCAGGAGCCTCCCTCCGTCTGTCTATTGGGGTCATCTGCTAAGTCTGTGCTACTGGGGTGGGTGGTGTGATCCTATCCCAGTGCAGACTGAACTGCAGGACCGACTTTGCACACTGGAAACCGAAACATCAGCATCTGCCCAGCTCAGTCCTCATAACTCCCGTCCCAAGTTCAATGTGAAGTCTCATTTGCATTAAAACAGATGAACGCCACCAAGCAGGTCTGAACTGATGTGCGAACTCAGCGCTGTCCCCATGTTGAGTAAAGTTAGTTAGGGCAGCTGGCTTTTCGGTCATTTCGCAAACAATGCAACCCATGCTGGTGAGGACATCGCAGAGTCTGCGGTCCTGGCCACTTCATGATGGGGGGGGGGGGGGGGGGCTTCCGTGGCCATCATGCCAGTCTAATTATGAATGGTTGTTTACTCTTTTCAGTGTCTCTCTTGGCTGTGTTTCCTGATGCTGAGAGAATGTGGTGGCAGTTACTCACAATGGTGGGCACTATGAAAATAAAAGGAAAATCTCAAGCATTCCCATCCCCGTCCCCCCAATACTGCTTTTGTGAAAGGAATCTGCTATGTTCCTAGAATGTGTGCGTGTGTTTCTCTCTCTTGTTCTGTCCTTCACTCTCTTTCTGGCAGGACATCATGTCCCTGTGAGAGGACCTTCAGGTGTAAGGTGCAGCCTTTGGGATCTTTTTTTTTTCTTTTCTTTTTTTTGAAAAAAGACCAAAACGGAATGTTTTGTTTTGTTTTTTGAAACTTGAGAGAAACGTGGTGATGTCTATAGGAAAATGGAATGAGTGCCAGAAAACTACAGACGAGAAATGACATTCAGCTTTGTATAATAAAAACACCTATTAACATTCATCACAAGGTACAGAAAACGTGAAGCCTCCAAAGAGGCCGTGGGCCCAAATGGAGGCCTGAGGTCAGAACTTAAAATGGTATAGAAGAAGCAAAAAAAAAAAAAAAAGCAATACATTAAAAAGTTTGGGATAATTATTTTTAACCCCTCCCCCCAATAAACACACAAAGGCCTTCCCCATCCCAACTGGAAGCAAAAAACAAAAACAAAAACAAAAAACAAACAAACAAAAAAAACCAAAGTGAGTAAAGGCAGTGATATCAACATGCAGTGCTGTGCAAACAGGTCGTCCACTGGAATCTTGAATTCGGGCGAAGGCTTGGTCTGCGGCACAGGTGCGCGAGCTTAGTCGGGTGTCCTCGGTGTCGGCCTTGGCAGGACAAAACTGCAGTTCAAAGTCTGCTGCTAAAAGTGAATCCGTTTATCGAATTTACAACACTGATGTTGACTCAAAGAGGAAAATCCCAAGTACCAAACAGGTCCGTCCAATGCACAGAGTACAAATCCCTTTTGTCAACAAAAAGTAGAAAAATCAAAAATACTCCCAAATGGGATTCTTGATGGCACTAAGAGTTAACACATTTCAGAGTTGTCAAAATGTAGCGAAAATCCTCCAGACTGTACAACAAGCGGAGAACGCTTTCACTGCTAACTTTTGACGTGGTTTGTTTTTATTTGATTTGTTTTGTTTTGCTTTTTTTTTTTTTTCCCAATCTTCGGTCTTGGGGGTCGGCCCGCCCAGAGGTTCACTCCATGTCCTCATTTACTGGTTCATCTTCGTAATCTCTGTCATGGTCAAAATCTGGACTGTGGTTGGCTGTTGTCACTAAGGACAGAGGCCCTTCAGCTTCTTCCGGGTCGAGGGGTTCCTCTTTGACGTGTACGGGATGCCTACAGAGAGAGGAACAGACTTAGAGGGGCATCCGGATTGATGCACAACTGGGGTTGGAGCAACCTAGAAGACACGAGCCACAGCGACAATATCCAGTAGAGGCAGAGTAACCCTGGCCGCATGTGTTTTCCAAATACGGTGGGAAACTTGCTATGACATAATGTCTGTTGTCCAGTTCCAGGGGTCTAGGGACTGACCACATGTGAACAGGGGCTTCTGTACTGCTCAGTGTAATAGCATTGGTGCGCAAAGAAGATCCTTTGGACATTTCTGTTTTAGAAAGTATTCTGTACAGAAATCATTTCTCCTGCTTTTCAGGACACACGATTTTATCCAAGGACCTTGTGACAGTGCAGTGTATGGAGCTCAGACTCTGCATTTCTAAGAGATTCCAGGGCATGGCGCTGGTCCCAGGACCATACTTTTGAGTACCAAATAACAGGCCCCGTAGCGACACCCTGGGTGGATGAATGCCACCCTGCAAATAATTATGTGAAATGGGAATCCGTAATAGAGCAGTGGTTCATGGGGACCACTGAGCACAGGAGGCTGGCTGGGCTAATCATGGCTTGCTGTGTGTTCTGCTCGGCTAGTTAACATGCAGAACCTGTGAAAGAACCCTCCAGAGGACGACCCCAAGTGAGGGTCTATCATTAATCAACTTCAAGCAAACACAGCAAAGAGACACCATGATACATGCTTGAAGCCCCAAATTAATGCATATTTTTACAAACTGTCAATAAGGCAAGAAAAGCCCTGCCAGGAAACACAAACGGAGAGGAAAAGGCTTGCTCAACACAACAATATGATAAGAGAGCAGAGCCCCGATCAGAATAATAACGCTGTCAGCTGTAAACAAGGCAAAACATGAGGCCCGGCTGGTAGCCGCCACCCGGACACTCTAGCTACCTTGAGAGCTGCCAACTTTCTCATTATGGACTGGGGCTTGGTTCATCTGAAGGGGGCTGGCATGATCACACAAAACCACTCTGATAACAACTGTGAAAAGCTGTTCGTAAATCATATTTACAACTGATCTTTTGCAAATACAAATGACTTTCTGTTGCAGGGGGGCTTTTGATATGTAAAAGAACCATTCAAGTGAAAATGTGCCCATCTCTGAGACCGGCTGCAAGTGGGAGGGGCTTATAATGGACATTATCAAGTATTAGTAACAAGAGGTGGTACTGGGGACGGCTGGCTTCCTAAATAATTGATGCTGTATGAAGCCCCAAAGGCCCCTGAAACCATTTAAAAACAAACAGAGGCCTGCCCTGGAAGACAGGAACCTTCAAAATCAACTGACACTAAAATTAGCATGGCATAGAGGGAGTTGGGGGGCTAGATGTCAGATAAATAGCTTTGAACAATTATACTCATTCTTAAAACCCACTTGCACAACAAACCACAGTCCCATGGTATATTTTCTATGTGGGTCTCCAGCCATTTACATTTTTTAATAGTTGTGCTCATCTTTGTTTCTGAAATAAGGCCTAGGCCTGGCTCTCTGGTTTGCAGAGTTCCTGAATGAGAAATATTCACTTCAAGAGAAACATTAAACCTTTCAAAGAGGGCCGTGTCCTTCCATGCTTGGGGCACCATGTCACCGAACACGTCACACGCCTGTGTGGTCAGCCCAGACCATGGTTAGTCCTAGCCTCTCCCTTCCCTTGGGGGAGCACATTATTACATGCTTTAGCCACAGCAGGAATGATTGTCTCTCTTTTTTGTATTTTGCTGGCTTTTTCATGACAGTTTTTCTGGTTCTGTGCGGTTCCGTCTGTTGGTCAGTCAGCCCCCCTCCCCCCGGGGCACTCTGTATTGGCCTCCTTTCCCCTCCGCGTCTGCATAGGACAGTGAGCCACTGGTAGCCATTAATCTTTCCCCTGCTGTTGATTTACCTCCTTGGGATAAATGTCTAAGAATGGAATTGTTGGAGCAGAGGCCAAAGCATCTTTATGGCTGTCCTGATTTATTGGGATATTAATTTGCAGAGGGGTGCTATCAAGTGAGAATGTCAGTGTCCCAAGTGTTACTCTGAAAAAATAGTTTGTGGTCTCACAGGTGTGTGGTACAGTCCCAGTTCCCTTGAACCACACCCCCTGCATTACTGATCACAGTGGACGTTTGTTTCTGATTTCACTATAGGGAGAACTGTGACTTCACAGTCACCGCATTGCCACTGCCTACGTGGGTTTAGAATTTGCCCTTTAAAAACAATTTTTTAAAACCAGTTACTGAGGCTCAGCTGCTATTTTCCAGAATAACACTTTCCTGCTTGCATTTTTAAAAGCTATCATACTTAGTACTTCATCTCTGGTTCGCAAGGTGCAGTCTGATGATACTGCACAAAGCCTTGGAGGGATGGGAAGCCCTGGGAAAAAACCAGACTCATCTTAACATGATGTTCTTACTTTATGACTGTAAATCATCGTTTTCTAGATGCAGCCCCTAACAATAAGAGCAGCAAACAGAAGGCTCCCACAAATCAGAGTTCCTAACACCAGAGATTATTTTGTTCTCCACAACATTCAGTGAGTATTTACCTCACCCAAACTCGGGAAACGATGCTAACATAATCTAAGTGGTTTGCCCTAGTGCTTAGCATAGAATGGATGGCCAACAAATACCACCAACTAGATCTCCTGTGTGACGACCTGAAAACCTACACCAGGTATGACCGTAAGGACTCTTCGGCCTTCCACGTAAGATTCAGACTGCTAAAGGCTTCCCTCCCACTGGGTACATACACAGTGTGCCCTCTACAGAACAGGGCTGCACAATGGATGCCTCTCTCCAGCCTCCCCCTACCAGGCCTACTATTTCCAAAAGGGCTCCCAATGGATAATGGAGCAAAACACCATCTCTCTGTTCCCCTTACATCTGAGTAATCCTTTTAAACAGCCATTCTGGGAACACTTGGGTTTTTAACTATAGCCAACTAGTGTTTAAAGGCATTGTGTTCCTGTTCAGGGTACACACCCAGCACAGAGCCTTTGGTATGGTGGCTCTTTAGCTCCACAGTGAAAGTACACTGTCCCCAAACCATCATTATGTGACTACCTTCTACCTTTTTTTTTTTTAAGTGAAAGGAAAGGCAATGCTTTGTGGTTTGTGTCACAGCAAAGTGAAGAGCAGAGAGAGAGCTGTATTACAGCGCTGCCCATGTGCTGGGCCAGCGTCCTAACAGTGTCTTGTGAGCCTTGTTGTAAAGTTTATGGCTTGATTTATTCCAATAGACTGGAACAGTTAAAAAACAATTTGCATCCTAGCAGGGTAATGCACACTGGACAAGAATGCAATCTCTGTCATTACAGAACTCAGTTAATGGAAGTACGGGGTCAGCAAGACTAACTGGCTGTGACACTGAGCAGCACAGTGAAGCTGTTGTCGGCACAGAGCAGCACCACAGGGCACGTGGCGGAAACCTGACGTGTGAGCATCACGTTTTGATAGCGCTGTGCAGGGGCTCTTATTCTTTCTTTCTTTCATGCAGTTGAAGCCTTTGCTTTGTTACACATTAGGATGACTGCTGTAAAATATATAGTTTTTTTGGTACGTCTACAGTTCATGCAATCTTGTTAAGCAAATGAACTTCCGTCATGGACAGGCCTGTCTCCATGGACCTTTCTTTCTTTTTTTTTTAAATCTACTTTTTTTTCTACTGATCTTTCTACTAATAGGAAAGTAACATAGATTACACGTTGGAGTTTGAACAGACTGTGAGAAAGTAGTGTGCCTTCCACTCAGTAACTTCTTATATTCTTGCTCAATGGGCATGTCTTGGAGTGGCTTATATGCCTACTTAGTGTTGCTCTAAACGTCCCAAATATTGAAATAAAACGTCCAATGACGGTGAATATCGGTAAGGTAACAAAAGAGTCAAAACCACCAGCTTGCTTTAGGGAAGATGAAACTCGGTGTCAATGGTGGGAAGAACACACTCTTTCCTGAAACGCTAGACTATGCCGACAAATTAACAGTCATCACTCTCTCCTCCAAAGACCCTTTAAAGCACTCGGGGCATGGGATTCAAACGCGAGAAAGCAGATTTCAGATCTGCCCATTACGCTGGCAGATACCATTTTTTCCCCCTTGTCACCGGATGCTAGTTCATTCCGTCCCTCCTTGTTAAAGGTCACATTTTCCATTCCCATCCCTCAAATTTCCTAAAATAAGATGTCGGTCAGTAATCCAGAAAGAATGTGCAGACAAGTGGCCTATTCTTGGAGCAGACAGCCCTGGAAACACTGAACTGGTTCAGTCACTTAAAGTGTGGGCCATGGTTCTGGAGAAACTCTCTTTGGAAAGGGAGGCTGCCATTAGCAGCCTGGGTTGCTGCACACCCAAGCATCTGGTATCACAGGGGTTCTTTTCTGTTGCTGGACCCTTCCTGGGAACTATGGCAGAAGCAGTCGTTTTCAACCTTCACCCACCACCGAGTGGCACCCCAACCTGCTGGCTTTTGCTGAGGTTTGTGTGGTCTTGGTGTCATTCACATGCAGCCCAGGCAACCAAGGCCCATTGCTTCATTCAGTTATATGTGCACTCATTATCCTGCCGTCTGCTGCTGTAATGCTCCTATTAATTTTCCTTTTGATATTTTAAGAGCAATCTATAAATCATGCCGCCTTTCATTTGTGCCATCATTAATGCTTGGTAATAATGCTGCGGTGTCGAGCTCAAGTGGTTAAACTTAGCGCACAACCAAGTAAACAAGCGTCTTTTTCCTCGCTAGGTTCGGCTTGCCCGGAAGTTGAACACACCATGAGCTTTCTCAAAGAGGTGTGTACGGATTTTAGGAGAAAAATCACAGTGTGACTTAAATAATGGTCTGAGACACAAAGTGAAGGAAACTTCTCATTTTCTTGCTGTGTGCACTCACAGTGGATGGAGCCAATTGCTGTTACGAGAGAGTTACTAACTAGTCCTTTTCGGCACTAACAAGCGACACTAGGCTCTTAAGAAATCAGAAATGACGGAAGGGCCAGGGAAGAGCTTGCTTGAGCACTTAACAGGCAGGCTGGGGTCATGCGACATGAGGCTTGGGGAGACAGTACTCACACAGCTTGCAGAGGGGATCTGCCCGGACTGCTGTCACTCTCGTGACTGTTGGCATGCTCCATGGTCCCGTTCAGCTCCTCCCGGATGGCACTGGCCAGGTTGCCCAGAGTGGGGTTGCCCATGGAAGCGGTAGTGTACAGAGGTATACTATTCTCAGCCATGGAAGCCTGCATCAGGCAAAGGAAATGGGAGAAGAGGCAAGACAAGAAAGCTCTGTTAGAAAGGAGTGGTGTGTCTGCCAGCCGTTGGTTCAAGTTCACTGGATCATGGCTAACAATTTCCAGGAGTGGTAGGATTTTGCTTCAGGAGCCTTGGGCTTCATTTGGATAAGCTATCTAGGCACCAAAGAGTCCATGGGTAAAGTCACCTGCTGGGTCCTGCCTTGTGGAGTCGTATGGTTTAGACAAAAGTATCTAATATGAAGTGTATATCCAATGTCTTTTTTTTTTTCAAGAAGAACTGAATATTTCTAGATCATAGTGAAATATAATGGAATTTTCATTTCTTTATCCATTTTGATGACTCCACTATTGGATATCCAAGATTTGATCAGATTATATGGCCACATGGCTCAAATTTATGAGAACTTCCATAAACACCCATAGGAAAGGAAGAGATTATAGAACTGGAATCAATTTTTTCTCTCCTATCCTTCCTGTTTTAATGATTTTTGAACCTGCTTAGTGAAGGCTGACATAACCAGATGAAGGTAACACCACATCTCTCAGCCTCAGACCAATCGTGGAGGACTTTGGGAGTGAAGAAGACTCTCTAGCAAAAAGAAAGACTAAATCTTATTCCCTTTACAACTAAGTATATCGATATTAAAGGTGACATAGTCATTCCAAATGAGTGTCAGCAAAAAAAAAAAAAAAAAAGTATAGAGAGGACTACCACCCCTCCAAAAAATCTCCACCCCCCAAACTAAAGTCTGATAGGCTACTGTTCTTTTCTGTCATACCAAATGTAACTATAATGGCCACCCTGTCTGCAATGTGGACAGTTGTCAAAAAAAAAAAAAAAAAAAAAAAAAACCAAAAAACCACGGGACTGAAGGAGCCCCATTTGTTTCCCTTGGGTAGGAAGTGTGCCCCAGTGACTTTTCCTTTTATTGTTCAGAAGGACAGACTTGGAAAACGAGGCAGCTGTAATTAGATGAAGATTTATCAAAATTGTCTTCTCGCAGACTGCACTATGCCTGGTTTCCATTCTAATGAGAGAAAGTACGATCACGAGACAATCTGGCACAGTGGCTTCAGTTGGCCCACCATGTGAGAGCCCTAACTATTCTAGAAAAGCTGGCACCAGAGAGAAGGTATGAGCCAGGAACAAAGGGAGACCAGGAGCGGAGCTGGGCTGCAGCGAGTCTGCCTGTGAGTCAGTTGCAGTCTTGCTCCCTGGATAAAACCCGGTGTCTCCCTCTTTCTCCAGAGGAATTACCTGCTTCCTTTTGAAAAGTAAAGGGAGGAGGGTAGTTTCTTATGACTTCTTCTGTGGTTCACCAGATAATCAGTTGGTATCCAGCACTTTCTGGATGCATCTTTTATAACTGCAATAAAACGTTTCTACCCTTTCTGGGCAGAACAGTTGGCAGAGTAACATCACTGCCAGCTGCAGCTGGGCTGCCACCTTCAGCGGCCTTATGTGAGACCACACAGCGGCCACACTTTCCTGCCATGTCAGTTCTGCCTGGACTGTCAACTGACTAACAGGCGGCCCTCTCACTGCAAGTACCGTGGGATCTGCTCTCACTAGACAACGTTACATGGTCAGGATGGGAAAGACGCTGGAGCCACCGCTACCTTGATATTTTATTGCATTCCGAAGCCCTAAGCTGAGAAGTAAAAACCATGGAAACAGATACAGTCTGTTAAGATGAGTATCCGTTTATTCTTCTTTATTCTCAAAGTATTATGGGTGAAAGCACCTTCTGATTGACAATGGATTGTGGATCACAGGAAGAGGCCCAGCAGCTGCAGTGACGAAAGTCACCCAGTGGCAAGACCTTGTCTTGGTCCCTTAACTCTCAGACACAATGTAAGTACAGAGTCTTGTTCCTTTAAACAAAACCCTAGCCACTGGGCTACAGTAAGATCCTGGGGCCTGGCCCACCACTATGCCTCTTGAATAGTCCTTTGCGGAGTGAAGGATCAGAGCAACCCACAAATTATCACCTTCTAACAGGTCCTTCCTGTAGCTGATGCTCTTAGGAGCAGATGTATCACAATGTTTATAATGGACTTAATTATATAAATGATCCTGGGCACAGTGTGTGGCTTCATATCAAACCGGCACCTCTGCCAGAAACACAAAGGTTCTTAAGTGATGGCACACGAGTCCGTAAGTACCACGGCTTCTGGAACGTTAACTGCTCTGCGCTCCCCGGGGAAAAGGCAGTCTATAAATATGAAGCTTTACGGTTACCCGTAGTTACTTCAGTTTTTCAGAGCATAATGCAATCTGTCCCGAGCCCCATGTTTTATTTCTGTAGTGGATTCTGCTGTCCTATTTTATAAATTGTATATCATGCCGTTATGTCACTCTAGTAATTTTTTTTTAAGGATATTGTTGCACTGTTATTTTTACTCGCCTTGAAAAATGGAAGTGGGCGATAATGGAAAGGAAGGCCTGCTGGTGGGCTCTTTATTTAATGTGCATGGCAGGAAGCTGTCTTGTATGACTGGCTGTCTACTGATGGGGAATCCAAACTCAAGAGGAGGAGCAGAGGAGACACTCCTTAAAGTGTTCCTGGAAAGCTGCAGGACAGTTTTGGGAGAGCAGGGGAAACACGGAAGTGTACAGTGGGTGCAAAAACAAAGGTCTCGGAGACGAAGTGTGAACACGTCTGTAACAATAAGGCACGCTAATTGAAATTAGTCACATAGTTAAGGGAATCCAAAGGACGAGGATCCTTATTTTTTTTTTCCTTTTCCGCCTCATGAATGTAAAATGTGCTTGTAATTTTAATATCATTCCAGATAGAGCCGCCTTTAAATTCATACTTCACAAGACTCCAGGGAAAATAAGTTACTAATGCATGGTATTTACAGAGGCAGCGGGTAAGCGGGCTTTCATTTACTCTTCTAAAGTTACTACGTAAACTACGAGTAATTAAGAGAAATGCAGAAAGCAGTTTCTCCTAGTAAATTTAGTGCAGGCCAAAAAAAAAATAAATAGAATCACGGAGATGCTCAGTTCAGTGGGCCTGCCTTGAACTGTGTCGGGGCACATTATCCACGAAGAGCCTTAGGATGCTGCGGGTGAGCTGGGAAGACAGACAGGTCTGTGGCACGCAGAATATGGCCTCAGTCAATATTTGTTTAGCAAGTGGTGAGAATCAGGCTGCTGTCAATGCCTCCTCCTCCCTCATCCAGTTCCCATAATGCCACGTGTTCCAAGCCTTTTCCCACTGGCATCCCTTTGGGGGCATTTGTTTCTCTATTTCTGCCTTCACTGAGGCTTTTCTGAAGGAACGTAACATTTCCGAGACATCACAGAGTCCAACAACCGATTTTGGGGTGCTACACTATTCACACTGAACAGTGCTTGGAGTGTGCAATAAGTGAGGCTTGTCTGTAGCCTATGTGATGGAAAGGTTGCAAGATTCTTTTGGGCATGTCTTCCTAAACAGATGCAATAGCTACAAGGATCCTGGCTACCTCTGAGCCCTTAAGGGAGATCTGAGTATGGTATTAGGTATTTAGGTATTTAAAAGGTGTTTTAGGTATTTAAAAGAAGTGATACCAGCTACTGTTAATTTTAGAAATAACTTGGTGGTGTGGCAACTGTGAGGAACAAGAAACTTACGACTGGCTAGACACACAGATTTTCCCTTCCGTCGCTCACACCTAGGGCACACACCTTCTAGGACCCTCACTGAGGTACTATAGAACTTATTTGTCAGTAGGAAACAAACAGTCTGTGTAAGGATGATTAGGTTTTCCTGAACAACTGGCTGGAAACATCTACTTTCCTTCAGCTTTCTGCTGTTGAAACAGTTGACTTACATAAGAGGAAACAAACCCAGACCCCACTCCCACAGAAAGAAAAGGTGTTGAAATGGACTTTAATAAAGCCTCGCTTTCTCTTTAAACCTGTGAACAATGGAAGGTCATGTGACATGGTGGCCTATCATCCAGCACATTAATAGCTGTGCTAGAGTAATTACACTTGTGGTATTTTTGCCTCAAGTGAAATTCTGAAATAAGAGGATGGAAATTATGATACTGCTGATAAATATTAATAAGTGAACTTTTAATTTTTTTTTTGCCACAATATTCAAAATGCTGAGCATCCTGCTAATGCTGAAGCAGTCCAATGTGTTTGCCTCCGGGGAGAACGAGGCTTTGTGCACTTAAGAAAAAAGTTTAACGGAATTAAAATTTAATATCTAATTAGAGCGAGGCTAATATATTTTGAAATGAGTGGGGGAGCCCCGCGCCTGTGCTGCGGATTGGGGATGGCCGTTAATCTTACCTGGAGAGCTGCATTGAGAGGGGTACAGTAGGCGTGGCTGCTCTGCATGTTTTTAATAAGGGAAGGGTTACTGCGTAAGAAAGAGACAAAAACACAAAGTTAAACACAATCCACCCAGGGGTCCTCGCTAAGTTTTGTTTTTAAGTTTGCTGGCAGCCTTTCCACATTGGAAACTCTTCCCCCTCCCAGTCATCAAACCGAAGGGAAGTTCAAGCCTCCTATCTGTTTCTCGGGGTTGGTCTGGGTGAAGACCTCTGGGGATGAACCTGGCTGTTCACCCTGGAGAAGCTGTCTTAGATTATAACACATGGGTATTTCCCTCGGAGGCCAGTCTGCAAAGGGTCAGTTGCTGCCCAGACTCCAGCAGGAAGGGGAGAGCCTGGCACAAGGGCAGGCTCCCTGGGACTGCAGGAGGAGCCTCTGCTCAGAGGCTTCACTCTTAGTTGAACTTGACTCTGACCACTAGAGGAATGGCACCATTATTCCTACTTTGTAAAGCAAGAGTTCCGGGGGTTGTCATTCCTGCACAGCCCAGTCTGGGAAATCACATTCTAATTTGATGTTGTTTCTGTTGACTAGGTAAAAGAAGCCAAGATACCTCCTCCTCCTTCTTCTTCTTCTTCTTCTTTTTTTTTTTTTTTTTTTTAAGAAAAATATCCTTGCTCTAGTTAAAATGAAAAAAAACAAAACTACAAAATTATACTGGACATACTGAGGGAAAGTGTGGCTTCCAGGAGGTAATGACATTCATTTATCAACAGACTTTGAGGGAAATGACATTATCAATCTTTTCCCGGTGCTTAGGACAATTTGGTTTTCAGTTTTGGAGACAGAGTCTCTTGACAAAGTCCAGGTGGGTAGTGGAATGTGCAGTCCTCCTGCCTCAGCCTCCGGGGGCTGTCATGACAGGCACACCCTTATGCCTAGCTTGCCAGGTACATTTTTAGTTGTTCATAATTACTGTGACTTCAGTGTTCACATAGGAAAAAAAATATATCCCACCAGCTATATACTGTAACCATCACTTCCTTTCACTTGCAGGGATTGTGGGTAACACAGGAAATATCTAGCTTTGAGGGTCCCCGTAAGCTGCTGAATCGAAATACAGTCAAACATTGGCATTAAAGACATTTTTTTTTTTAAAAGCATTGTTCTAGGCACTGGCGTTCCAAAGAGAAACGAGCGAGGTCCATGTACAGATCACACCGTTGTTTAAAAGTCTCTGTTGCGGAAAGCTGTGGCACTGCTCTGGGGTGAAAATGTCATACTACATGGGATGAGTCAACCATGCAAAGCCAAAGCAACAGCAGAAACAAAAGAACAAAGCAAGTAAAGGCTCTTACTGTGCGCCAAGCTCGTCAGAGTTTTCACCGGGGCAGTATTTGCGAGGACGGCCTCGTTGAATATGGCGGCCACGTCTAAACTCTTCATCATCAACTGTCCAAAAGGACCCAAACTCATCCTCTACTCTGATAAAGCACTTATGCAGTGAGAGGTTGGTGCGAATGGCACCCTGGGATAGGAGCAGCAGCAAAGGAGATGGAGTGGCAACAAAGGGAGACGGGGTTGGGGGCGGAACAGACATCCAATACAGGGAGCAGGAGAAAGAAAATAAAATGCAATAAGCATAAGCAAATGGCTCGTGAGGGTTAATATGCATCGCCGCCTAAAAGCTACTAGCATGGGATGTAACAGAGACCAGCAAGCAGGGGCAGGGGGACTGGTGGGTGTACGAGACAGGAGGGATGAAATGCTCTTTCGTTTCCCTTAACTGAGACAACATGAAAACCAGGTCTTTGGTCTGACGCCGCCTAGCAGCCTCTACAGTACGCTTGTTAGCACAATTCGAGCTGGGCTAAGAAGTTCAAACATGGCGGACGTACCCACTGATCTTTTGTGGCCTCCGTTTTTGGAACTCTACTTCATCCACTGTCCATACTGCCCCTTTAACGTTCTCTACTCGCACAAAACACTTGTGAAGACTAAGATTATGACGCACTGCATTCTGCAGCAAGTATAAAAGAGAGAACATTGACATTTTTTTCTATAAGAAAAGACTAAAAAAAAAAAAAAAAAAACCACAGCAGTACATTCAGCCCCCACCCCCAATCTGTAAAATCATCGCCCAGAGCTGTAGCCACCACCCCCCTCTCCCCCACCCCTCCCCATGGAAGACCTTCTTTCGAGTGTCTTTTCTGAGGAAAAAAACCCAAATTATGAATGAATGGTACTCTGGCATTGAAGCCTAATTTCTGATACCATGTGACCAGAAGATATATTGGTAAATATGCATGCAAGCCCCAAGCAGGTCCCTCCACATAAATCTAAAATACAACGATGTCAAGATCAGGAGCTGTATAAAGTATAAAAACTATTCTTTACAGACACATCTATGTGGGATTCATAGAAGGGTATTTATTTTTAAATCATGAAAGGTGAACACTCTTAAATACACAGCAGCACCCGGCTTAGAAACCATGCCTAGGCTTTATTAAGGGAAGTTCTAACTAGGATTTTACCACTGAGAGTACCACCACTGTGTGCGGCCAAGACGGAAAGGGGCGACCTCAGCACAAGGGATCAGTCTCGACCATCACACCTAAGCCTTACCTTCCAGAGTGTGTATGAACATGGGTAATTACTCACAGGAACCATTTTAAGTAATTGAGCAAATGCCAAGAACATTCAAGTAGGACTCTCAACGGCAAAATGATGATGTTTTTGCAGTTGGGTTTCTACGTTTAAAAGTCATTGTTGGCCCTTGCTAAGTGGGATCCTTCACGTCTAACAAAAAGAATGTTCTCAACTCAAGTATGAAGAGCTTCCCAAGTCTCCTGTTTCCAGGAAAATCCACAACCCTGACGAGATAACCAAACTGGATACACTTCAGTCCTGCCTGGCTGACTCCATGATCCAGACTCCATGATGGACTTGGATCAGTTTTTCTCATAGAGAATAAGTGGCTCAGTGCGGGCAGAGGAAGCTGACGCATCTATTGAGCTTTGGGCACCTTATACAGAAGCCCTCATTGAATCCCGGCATTGCTATCGTTCGGACAAGCTACACTCTTCTCCTACAGTCATTTGCTCTCTTGGTGGCAAATCTTGAAACTCTGAGAGGTCTTTCAGATTTCTGGACAATGATAATTGGTGACTAAGAGGATTCAGGTTACCTAAAAGTTACTCTTCTCTGTGATATAGTACTGGGAGGATAACAGGACAGATTTTATTACGAATGTGATGATGTGTGCACCCGTGGGACCCACGGAATGAGATCGCGGGGGTGGGGGGGAGGGCGGCGTGTGAGTACAGCTGGAAGTAGATTCGTGATACCAACACAACTAATCAAAGGATATCCTTGACTGAAAAACTTTTTGATGAGTTCCTTAACAACAAAGCTCTACGTATATAAATGTAACCTAGCTTTTAAGGAAATAACTTCTTCTTTACATTTCATGGGGAATCATTTCCTCCTACAGCATGGAGGAGACAGAAGTAAATAAAGCCAGTTTCCTTTCAAAATCGCACATAGACACACATGTGAGAGATAGACGGGGAACCAGGCATCATCAATCACTGCTGGAAATTTTACCTAAGTATCAAGATGCACAAACACTGAAAGACCGCAGGGGCCGTTTCTGATAAAAGAATGACTGTATGATTTTCAGGGCTATATAGTAAAACAGAAAGGAACTAAAAAATCAAGAGCTTATTTTTTTTAAAGAATAAGACAAGATGAATGACACTATTTTATTTTGGCTGTTAGATCATTGTCCCAGTAAGGACACAGAGAGAAACGATCTGTATTGATGAGTCACTGGGTACTTCTGTAAGACTATATTAGTGACACTTCTGTCTTCACTTTGCAAAGCTGAAAAAGTGAGATGTAAGTTGAAAATCATATTCACAACTGGCAATTATTTTTAAATGTGATCATTTGGTATTTATAAAAAGCAATTTGAAAATGCCTACTTCACGCTTCTACTTCTTAAATTTTTAAAAGATTTGTAGCTAAAGAGCCTTTGTATTTTGTCTCCTGAGGCAGGCTGGGAAAGAGGCTAAGATCAGTTTCCCGTCAGCCCCCATGTGGCTATTGAATTAATTCTGTGCCTAAACTCATTTTCTTATAGAATTCGAGAAAACCAAAACACGTTTCTTCCTATTAAATTAAGGAAGTTGTATCCTATAATAGCACCTGTTGAAATTACGGATATGGACAAAGCCTAAATACTAGGTGGTACTAAAAAGATCTACTTGGCAAAAAGTAATAAATTAAAAGTAGGAAGCTGAAGAATGATGTGAAGGCTATTTGTGCAGCCCAGCCTGGCCTTGTACTCTCAGTCTTCACACTTCTCAAATGCTGGATGATTGGCATGCACCACCATGCCTACCCAGGAAGGCTTAATGGAACATACGGACTAAATACCACTGAAACCTAGATGAGACTCCAAGCATTTCAAGGGGTTATCTAGCAGAGTTGTGGAATTTGACCTGTTCCATGGCAAATGGTGTCATACTACATAGTTGTGAAAATACCTTTCTTCCTCAGGGTAACCATGAGCCCCTGAATGGGAATCCTTGCACTCTTCAGAAATCACCCTTTTTCCTGTGAGTACATGGATTACACAGCTTCCTCTACCTGTGGGGTTGGTGAGCTATGATCTAACCACTGAAGGATCTTATTCAGTTTGGTTGTGTCTCTGGGTTCTTAAACGCACCCCTGTAAATGACTGAAAGTTACCTTCTAATGAATGACATGTGGCTTGTGTAAGCAATAAGGCCAACCTCAGAGTTAAGGGTCACAGTGTCATCTCCTTTCCCTACCAAGAATTCTCCAGCTGGCCTATCCATACCTCTCTTGCAGGGGGTAGGGGAGGGGGAGTGCCTCTTCCATTCGAGCATTTCAACCACAACAAAACCCTTCTCCCTGGCACGCTCCCAGTGCAAAAGGAACATTCTCGCCGCCCAGCAACTGAATTTTCTCCACTAGAACCTCTGTTCTATCAAGGTCAAAGGCAAGTCTGCAAAGCCTACCTTCCACGTGGCTGCATTGCGTCGGAAGTAAGCAAACATTCGTGTGAACCAGTTATAGATCTCGTTTAGTGTTAGCTGCTTTTCTGGAGATTCGAGAATGGCCTGCGAAGCAAAAAAGGATCCAAAGAAGGTAATTGATGACCCAGTTGGCAGAAGCATTTGACTGTTCATGAGAATGCAGGAAAAAAATAAATAAATAAAAACCCAAACAAACTGGAATCTGGAGCAAATTTCTCAGACAGGTTTCACAAAAATGATCGAAGATTAATGGTTGTATTTAAACAGTTCAATAGCAAAACTCGAAATGGAATTATCTAATTGTTTGGAGTTTTTATTTCTGTTTCCGTACAGAAATATTAATTTATTAGTCATTCATAAAGCAGAATCAAAGAGAAATGCAAAACATTTCACTAGCTGATTAAAGCTCAGTAATTATTTAGAGCTCAGATTAATTCTAGGGATCAGAGATTACTGTAGCTTTGTGATAATTGACTTGCCATCTTTAAACAGCCTCATTCTCACTGTTGTGTGAAATGAATTCCCTAATAATCACATCGTATTGTAATACTTAATCAAAAGCAATTATGTTATATATTGCAGTTTTAAAAAACCTTATAGAAAAGGTTTTAGCATGCTTGCATACTAAGTGGTTTTAAACCTACTTCATCAATATAATATACCCACGTACACCTTTCGATAGCATTTCGTGGTCTGTGTTATTTACTTACCTGCCTAATTAAAGATGCATATGTAAATGGTGGTCTAACTTCCGCGTTCTTATAAAATTCTTGGTTCTGCGCAATATCTGCTAAATATATAAGAATCACCGTCCTATTAATAATCACTTTTTAAAAGGGGGCTCATCAACAGGACCTGCAGATCCCCCATGCTGCCCCTGGCAAAGAGAGGGCGGCTACCTGAAGAAATGGGCACGTTGTATTTGTCTGAGTACCGCCTGCGGATCGGTCCCACCGTGTGCATGCTGGTGGTGGTGATGACAGAGGGGCCTTGGGTGACGGGAGTTAACGGGGCCGTGGGGGTCGTTGGAGTATGAGGTAAGCTCTGTGGAGAAGCCTCTGACGCGGACTTGGAGAGGGTGACACTTGATACCAGATTCAGCTGTGAGGAGAACAATATTGGTTAGAAGGACTTGAGAAAGGCAAAACCCAAACAAATGAAACAACAGAAACTCAAGCCACCAAGAAAGCCTCTCTCGTCCCACAGGAAAGACAGGCGGACACCTGGCAAGGGTTACCTCTCTAAATTGGTGTGTTTACAGAGGATTCACTTCCAATTAAAGGTATTCTCCTTTGCATGACATGGAGGATGGGGGCTGAAGGAACACGAGCCGGGCTCCCGTGGTGTAAAGCTGGCTCATTCTGTCTGATGCTCGGCAATGTACCACCACAACTGGAAAGCTCTGTTGTCATCTGATTTCTTTTCCCTCTTAAAATTGCAACAGATTGACTAAGTGGCCACTTAGGGCTCTGAGCCTCCAGAGACCAGCAAGAAGTCACAAGACTTGAGTCCATCATGAAACTGAACAGACCTCAGGACTGTGCAGGATGGACCTGTGGCATTTACTCAGGAGGCCCACACCTATGCCTATGAAGTTGTAACATTCGGTTGCGTTTTAAAGAGTCCAGCTACGGAAGTGGCTGTTGTCTGAAGCAGTGCAGAGCAGCATTTGTGAACAGCCCTTTTCCTTCTATTCTGTGTACTTTCTTACAGTCCTGACACGACTGGGAGGGATGACCCTTCTCCAAAACTGACGGGGACAGGAAAACTCCCTTGAGTTTGAAAATGCAGAAGAACCTGGTGTTTTTCATCATGGTGGTGCAGGTATCAAATACTCAAGAGAACCTCTCCCAAACTCAAGAAACTTTTACAAAGTACACTCTTACTTGGCAACATTTTATCACACCACACTTCAAATCAGTCACCAGAATGTCTATTTTGCTATTGTCAGATTCAACATTAAACACAAGTATTATTTATGGATGGTATTAAAAGTGAGTCCTTGGCTCCAGTGCATTGGGAAGACTCGATCTTAATTCACACACTAGGAATGAAAGGGACCACGAAATCGCCCCTGTGCACTAACTTCCAAGGGAGGAAAGAGAAAGGAAAGAGCTGCTGTCATGAAAGGAACATTAACAGAAAAAACCCAAATTTAGTGCTCCGAGCTAACCAATGGGCTGTGAGCTTTCAGCTCTGCTTTTCTATGCTCAGTTTGAAACACTGACTCAGCATACCACAAGCCCCCAGTACCTAAGAACAGCAAACTGGGGAGACAGCAGACACTTGCTGACCTTCAGCGACCAGGGGCAATGTGGTAAGCTGCCCTCCCAATGGTGCTAGAAAGCTGACCGTGACACACATTTGCAAACCAAGTGCTAAGAGTTCAGAGGAGAGGCCAGGGACAGGGCGGAGCAAGATGCCAATGGAGAAGAGCAAAGGCCGACCTCTTCTTCCCCTCAAGCCTTAACAAGTGCCCAAGTCCAGGAACTGTATGTATTAGCATCAGCCAAAGGGGGTGTGTGTGTCAAGAAAATTAGTGTCTAAAGACCCCAAATGCATCATTCAGCTGCTGTAAAGCCTAAGCATGAAGAGTCTTCGGAAAGCCAAGGGTATCATTTACAAAAATACATGCTCTGAAAACACTTGCCCTGAGAGGCTTCATTTCATTCACATGCCTCTACAAATTGCTCAGGTTTTATAGAGAACGAAAGAGAAGCTTGCCCATATCCTTCCCCAGACCCCAAGTCAAACCACATCCTTGTCTGGCCCTACAGCCTCTGCACCCTCTACTTATGCCTAGCTCATGTCTCACATCAACGCTATGGCCTTTCCTACTTCTCTGTTATGCTTGCTTTTGGAAGAGCTTCCACAAACAGCTTTTACTTTTGCTTACAAATGACACTCAATAAATATTGCCAGAAACTTCTAAAGGCCCGAAAGCAGGACTAAACCACTGAACTTCTGTCCTTGGGGAGCTTAATGATGAAAGCAGATAAAAAACCCAGACAACAACTCTGAGGGCTCACCCTACTTCTTGACTTCTCCTTTTAGCCTAAGAACATTACCCTATACAGCCCGACTTTCTCAAAAAAACAACGACAATGATGTTGAACATGGGAGTCCACATGCTCCCTTCCAGTTTGTGAGGAAGTTCAGCAAGTCCTGTGTCACCATTCAACAGGTCCAAGCCCATCTTTTTGAGTGCCCAGATCTTAAAAGAACCAATGAACCCCCACACAGAGACATGCCATCAGACGTGCATAGATTTGACTCTGGCAGCTTTGACAAGGGGCTTAATACTTGGACCAGTTCTACTGGAGACGGCAACAGTGAAAAGACAGATCCCTCCAGGCTCGCCCAATCCAGGAAGAGGGTAATGCAGGCTGGATTTTCTGGATGCTTTTGAATGTAGGTAGGAACTGGAAATAAACACTGAGCTCAAAGTCAGAGGTTTACCAGGCTTGACAAATGACACCATGATTCACACCCACTGCTGGGCTGTCTCTAATAAGCCACAGAGGAAGCAGCCAATCTCAGCTAATTACCAGATAAAAATGTATTGTAAGGACTCTAATGAGGAGATGCGGATGGAGGTGATCTGATGATTAAATGGTGCATTCGACTGACCCTACCATCAATGTGCAGTGGTGCACAATGTCGCTGGAATATTTTGTAGAAACAGTAATTTTATTTCAGGGAGGGGAGACAGTAATATTTGTAATGATGGCTATGAGGTAAACTAATTAAAAGACAGTTCCTAGAGGAAAAGGGTGTCTGGGAGCAGCTGCGGCCATTCCAAACCCAAGTGCCAAGTCTCAATGGAAGGGCTTCAGTCAAGTGGAAAATTTCTGCCTGACCTCTGCCCTCGCTATTAATTTGCAGAAAAACTAATGACACATATACATATTCCCACAAAATTGTTCTAATTGCTAATTTGCCAAAGGAGCCTGGATTCTAAATTAAACATGACTGTAGCCTGTGAGGGAAGAACAGAAAGCTGGGGACTCCAAACAGAGGGAGCTCTGCCATGCAAGACCATCAGAAGGGTGGACCACCAAGTTAATGAGACACAACCCTGGCAGCTGCTGGGCAAGCTTCTCAACTTTTAAACTTCTGTCTAGTGATCATATGTGTGTCTCGAGGAGAAGCCATCTTTCCGAGAAAAGGGAAGGGGTACCAGGAAGGATTCAAAACACACCATGTTCACATAAAACTTGCTCTTACAATGAAGAACTCTACCCAAAACATTGAAAACAAAATAATAATGAGCTACCACAAGCTGATAAGAGCAAACTGGGGCACTGGGTATGGGTGTATGGGTGTGTGTGTGTGTGTGTGTGTGTGTGTGTGTGTGTGTGTGTGTGTGTGTGTCTCAGTCAGGAAAGGGCTTGCCCAAGGATGCAGACCTGAGTTCACCTCCCCAGCACCCACAGGTGTGATGGTTATAATGCCAGCCCTAGGAAGACAGAGACAGGAGGATCCCTGGTGCTTGTTGGCAAGTCAACCTGGTTGAATCAAGTGTTCCAGGCTCAGTGAGAGAGCCTGTCTCAAAAAAGAAGTTGAGAAAGACATGGAACATTGACCTCTGACCTCTACACACACACACACACACACACACACACACACACACACACACACACGCACGAGAGAGAGGGAGAGGGAGAGGGAGAGGGAGAGGGATAGGGAGGGAGGGAGGGAGGGAGGGAGGGAGGGAGAGAGACAGAGACAGAGACAGAGAGACAGAGAGAGAGAGAGAGAACGAGAACACAAATCAGGAACACACACAGAGAGGCACACACATACACACAGATAAAAGAGCAAATCAGGAACAGTGGTGTGGGTTTTTCGCTGTTATCTTGAAATATGCATCTTAATTGTCAATTATTAAATCTTTAGACAATCATCAAGGAAAAAGGAAAGCTTTGGTGTTCCATGTTTCTAAGTGTAGGTAAGGGTTTAAAAGAGATTTTTTTTTTCCAGGGCATGGAGCAGGAAGGGATTGGACTGGGAGGGTTTCTTTCCCTGATGGAAAGGCCATTTTTCTCATTGTGTTCGTTTGCTATTTAAGAAGAGGTTGCTATGTTTAGAAAAGCTAGTAACGCAGATATTTTTCTCCATGGCAAGTTGCCACTGAAGGGATGATTTCAGCAAAGATAATCTCTTTCAAACTCTGGCCAGGAGCTAAATTCTTATGTCACTTAAAGTTGCTGCAGGCTTTTAGTTTTTAAATAAAAATACAAACAACTGTGCTATCAAGTCTTGACTTTTACCTCAGTTTGGTTACCAAAGGGCTTTCCTGGAAGCGTCTACTGTTGAAACTATCCCAACTATCAGCTACCCAATATTGTACTTTGTCCTTTCTAAAAACAAAAATCAATCTTTAGTTTTTCCATAGCACACTCCCCTCAAGTGTAAGGATGGTGAGTCACTCACATTTAAAAAAATAAAAAATAAACAAACCGCTGATGCAAACCCCAGGCAGAAGCAGACTTGTTAGGGAGTATTCCCACAAGAACCCATCTTCTGTTTTTGTTTGTGCTCTTGCTTCTCATGAAAACAGATTCTGAGAACAAAAGAAAAACCTGAAACCAAAACACCAGAGACCAGCACTACACAGGAGGGACTTGGGGCTCACCCAACTGGTTTCTCTGCTGCAGCCTGGATGGGCTGAGAGGCTCAGGTCCTGCCCTCACCTGCAATGTTCTGAGGCTGGAGGCTGCCTTTGTAGGCATGAATCACCAAGTTCAGACTCCATGGACAGAGGGCAGGCAGTGGGTGGTAGGGGGGAGGCCTTTGGAGAGGACTCTGCGCTCTGATGGGAGCCTGGCTTATTCTAGAGACTCAGAGGGTGGCAATCCTGGCAGGGAAATGAGCAACAAACCTGAGCTGAGGTGCGGAAGGGGACTTAACAAAAAGCAGTCTATAAAACAGCCTTTGTGCACCGTGCACCGGATTGCAGAGTCCCTCTTTATGAGTGGCCAACATTACTGCTCCAAGGCCCCTGCAGCCCACACCTGGTCACCTGTTCCTTGAAGTTCACAGGCTCTTTTTTCAAGGGGATGGAGGGACCACTCTGTTTTCAAAGGAGCTAAAAAAAACTATTTCAAAACAGTCCTAATTGCTAGAGTTAGAGTCAATGTGCAAAGAGGAAAATCTCAAGCTGCATTTCATTCTAAAAGTGTCTTACGAATTTTTCATAAAGTAGGCTCCAAGACCTGTGCTGTAATTACTTGCCCACCAAATCTCAAAGAATGTGGTTTCTCCAGGCCTGGGGAGTAGTTCTCACGAGTGCAGGAATCCGCAAAGCAAAGTTCTTCCCCCTCCCCATCATGAAGTGGGGTTTACACTGCACACTCCTAACACCAGCGTAGCAAAATGGCTTTGTAAGAAGCCACTGACAACTTAATAAAGTCCTAACACAGACATGTTTCCTTTTGTTGTCCTTCTGTGTTGAGTTACATCTTAGCCAATTCTGCATGCAGTTAAGTATAGACACGACATTGTGCTGCTCACTCTGGGAATGGAACTGGGTTTGGAACAAAGGAAGAGCAGACTATTTTCTCCTTTTTGCTGTTACTTCTCTTTCCGTGGGAAACAGAAGAACTTTTAAATCTTAAACTACAACAAATTTGGCTATTGTAAACATATGTCAACAACAGCCTTTTCTTTCTTGGTACCTAACTGCTAGAACTTGCTAGATGTTAGCTAGGCCTTTTCATGCAGGGCCTGCCTCAACAGACTGCACAATACTAAGGTTGGTGATTCCTCCCCTTCCGGCATTCTGACCCTCATCGTACATGTTCCTCTCCCAGCCACCATCCTCAGACACACACATCCGTGTAACCACTCCTCCCCAGAGGCAAGAGCTGGGAAACTGACCTCTTTCCTTCTAGAGAATCCTACGCAGCTTCTAGGTTTCAAAAGACACATCGTTTTCTCAGGTCACTTTTCCTAGTCACATACAGCATTCTCTATGCAACAAATGATCTATGTGTGTATGGGTATGCGTATACATATGTGTGGATATATGCATGCAATTATTTGGTAGCTTGTTCACAAGACTCCAAACACCTCTACAGCAAGTACAGGTCTTTCTCGTTTGACCACATTCAGTCTGTCATTGTGGCCAAGTAATTATCCCTGGATGGAGTGGCTTGATTTCTACATTCAGGAACTCCAATTCTGAGAACAGAGATGTGATGGCCATCAGAAGACAAGCTACCCAAGGAGTCAGCAAGGCCTGAGGCTGGGGATATACTGTTTCCATCAGCCACACATTGGCAGCCCATTGTGGGTGGACCTTGTCAGAGCCTTGTCTACACCCTTGGGCACTGTTCTGGGAATGTGCATTTTGTCACTATCCAAACCTAAAGATGTACCCCATGCTGGGATCCAGAAAACAAATCTCTGAGCTGATGCAAGAACCATCTGAGAACGTGATGGCAGCTCTTGGATGGGAGGAACTGGGGACATGGTGGACCACTGGCTACAAAAGCCATTTAGCACCCAAATGGCATTTAGCGAAGGGCAACATTTACAGCTGAGCATTCTATCACTTAGTGACTAAGAATTTTAAAATAAACACCAAGTTCCTTTTAAACAGAAATGGAAAAAGAAACAACTTCATAAACTCACTGGCACGGTTGTAATGTGGAAGTCCCCATCTATGGTTAGATATGAAACTCAGTGGATTCTAGAATGATGCTCATTCAAATGCTCACCAGCCATTCATTCTATTATTTAGGGTGGAATAAATTAATTACAGGCTGGAGGGAATATTTTGAATGTTAGGATCAGTCACCAGATAGCTCTGAGTCCCTAAAGTTGAAAGCATCAAGGGGTCTGAAATATGCATGGGCTTTTTTTTCTTTCTTTCTTTTCTTTTGGCAAGGAAGTGAAAATTTATGCAAAACATTACACGTCTATCTTTTATAATTAATTTTCCAATGCCTCACCTATACATATTTTAATAATTCCTGATTTATAAGATGGTATCTATAATAAAATTTTCTATTTTCCAATAAATGAAAAGGAGGCAGGTTCACTCCGACAACAGAGTGTCACACAATATCTACGTGTCAGGCACCAATTTTTAGTTCTTACATGTAAGTTAAAGGATAAGGAATTTATAATGCTGCCTGTGAGGGGAACCACTTTTCATACACAAATGTGATTTTTTTCCAAAGGGTAATACAACAGTACATTTACATAAACTAATCCAAACAATCTATGTATTTGACAATGGCAAACCTCACACAGACAGGCTATTGTTGGTTTACATCTTGGAGTTCTTTATACTGGCTTGTAGCACCGCTCTAGCTGTCAAAGGTTTGACTTGGACGCTAAATAAATGGTTATAGAAGTGCTGTGCAGCGATATTGGACTTCTTTGCAAAAGAAAACCTGCTGTGTATGAATTCAAAAGCTATTAATTTTTCAGTCAAAAATATTCGTGCCTATTTCTTTTAATAAAGAAATACTGTGCTGAGCTTCTAAGAGATAATGTTGACTAGTGGTAGAGAATTTTCAATAGAGCAGTTAAAAATAAATTTAGTAGGAGGTCCCCTTCAAAGTTATAATTTTCTAGAATGTAAAACATTTTTTTTTTCAATACTAATCAAGACAAACCTTCCTTCCCTGTTCATTCCCTCACCCCTAGCTGCTTCTGTCTTGTTTATTGGCTACTTAGCACAGGTCCACAGGGAGACAGAACATCAAGGGTCCTCATGTGCCCATGTGGGCTTGTATATATGGTGCTCAGGGCTAGTCCCAGGCCCGATTACCCACTGAGGACCCCAAGGGACTCTGTAGTTCCATCTCTTTATGTGGATTCCTTCTCTGCCTTGATCCAAAATGAGCCTATTGCCAGAGTGATACATTCAATCATGGCTCTATCATGGCTGTTTTTAATTCATGGAGGAAGATGGGGACAACCTGTCTATCCCTGTTGCTATGTGTGAAGACTTAGAGTCTTCAATCTGAAGGAAGCACTTCACTAAAAACCACTGTGGATTTCCAGAGAGGTCCAGGGCAATCATTCCCCTTTGCCACTGGTCATGACACCATTTCAGGGTAGCACTAATTCTTCCCAATGGTCATCTGAAAAGAGGAGATGAAGAGCAGCTTTGGATGGTCTGGCTCCTTCCCCATCCTTTCCTTTTTGGTAGCTTACCCATCCTATCCTGCAGCCATTTACTGTGAGATACATGGAAGCTAAGACTCTTTCTCAGTAAAAATGGATGCGTGGAGTGTTTAATGATTTTATGTCCTGTATCTCAGTAATGTGTTCTGCTTCAGACATTAATTCTGTCTGCCAACTGCATCTTGGCAGGCTACCATATTTACTGGGTTAATAGTCTGACTCCGTTTTATTTCTATCACCATACATCATACATATAGGGGTGTATGTTTGCTTTATTTATAGAAAAAAAAATCAGTCAAAACAGATAAACCAATACTTTGCCATTATGCTGCATCATTGCATGTTGATTAAAATTGCTGCTACTAACTATAGATTGTCAACGCTCAATTAATTTTCACATAGGGACTCCCAGCAAAATCAAATAAAGTCAGCGTACCTTTAAATTTTACAAATCTTAAAATCAGGAACCAAGGCATGGCCTCCATTTTGAATAATCAGCTAGAGCCACTAGGAGACTTCCAGAAATGTATGTGAGTGATACCAGTGCTGATGAGATCAGTTTATGGTTTAAAAACAAACAAACAAAAAACAAGGTTCAAGGCAGGATGTTTGCTTTAGGTATCATATGCCTACCCAGATCTCAACTTTAAGGCCCAGTACAAGGAAATATGACAAGCAAAGCCAACTTCTAAAAACCTGGGATGGATACCATGTCTGTCTCATCCTGGGTCTCTCCCGGATGCCTAGCATCCTGCCTGTCTTCTCCATGAAAAGTCAGAAAGTCGGGTGAAGGAGGGCTTTGGAATTCACAGCTGCCCTCTGGAGCTATTCTCCCAGTGCTTGAGGTGGGACGCGGAGAAGGAATACCACTAGTTTATGGTGCCATTCCCCCGGGTGGGGACCAGTACTTACGGGCTGAGGGGCAGCTTTGGGTTCTGTAGACTTCACATGCAGGTGGGTCATCATGGCTTGCAGGCGCTCTTTGTCTTTTGCAAGCTAATGGGAAGAAAAGGCTTTGTTATGTCTTTGAATAGAGATGTGTGACTCTTTCAAATACCCCCCAACTATGCATATCCCAACTAACTACAGCACATGATAGAATCATTTTTATTACTTCATCGTTTGAAATCTACAGGACCCCTGCCAAAGTCTGAGGAACCGGAGGTGTTGATGTGAGATTTCCCAACACAAGGTGCATTAGTCTTTAACTGGGACATTCTAGACCTGCTGGCACCACGGAGTCCCAGGGAACATGGACAGCTCAAAGGCAAGCATGAATCATGCCCATTAGCCAAGCTGATTCATGAGGAGGCCACGGGAAGATGAGCAGCTAGCTCACACTCATAAACTCATCGGTTGTGCTTGTGGACAAACTCATGGACACCTGGATACACTTGTGGAAAGCTGGCTGAGTCTGTCTTACAGGGACTGGCAGGTGACAGTGGCTGGAACGAGGCTACCAGGACTGAGGGGCTCCCATTTGTAGGTAAACACTAAGTTCCCTGTTTCAGGGGTTCAACATCTGAGTACCCACTAGGTAGATGTTCTCTTAATAACCCCAGTATCTTCATTCCATGAAAAGTTATCTTCTGATGTCACAGATGTTTCTAACTGGATGGGCAGGGTGGAAAGTCGCTTATTCATTAGATGCTATAACCTTTATGCTGGTTTTGGACCATTTTGATATAGTGGTAACTTGGTTATATCACAAGACAGGTGGGGTAAGGACCTCTAATGATGACTTTTAGATAAGTAGTGTCTAATATGGACTCCAAAAATAAAATGAAGTTAAGGAAACAGATGCAGCATGAAGAGACAATGTAGACACAGGAAGGGGAGGAATATTTTTGCACTAGTGTGTATATCTTCCAAAGTTTCACAGATAGTTTGTCTAAAACAATGCCTCAGAAGCAGGGTAGGGAACCTATTCTTTTAATACCTCATAGTTTTAAACCTTTAGGAAGTAAGTTTCTTTTTTTAAGTCTAAAATTATGCCAAAATTAAACCCACTTCACATTTTTAACCAAGTTATTTCTGGTGGTGGGGAGACAGGAGGTCGGGGCTCAGGAGTCAGGGGAAGGCAGAGAAAGGGGGCCGGGTGCAGTGGCAGAAGAAGACACGAGTCTGCCTCTTCCCCCACCGGCTGGCTCAGTCAACAGCCATATCACATTTGAGTTTTTATTTCTTTTTATTCCCTTGTGGTTCAGGGAGGAATAAATTAAGAAGAAGAAGAAAAAGTAGGGGGGAAAAGCCTTCCAGTGTTAGTTAGCATTTATCTTTCAACAAACAGGAAATGAAAATGACGCCATCTTAGGGTGGGCTTTACGTTACCACCCCGTTCTTCGGTGCATTACTCTGCTGCCAAACTAAGACTCTCTAAACACATAACGCCAAAGGAATTTGGGTTTTCAGAGGTGCTCAGACAAAACATTTCAAATGTTGGGAGCAGCATTTTTCTATGGTTATTCCTTTTTTTTTTTTTTTACATTAAGTGCCCTAAAGGGTTTTTTTTTTTTTTAATTGTTGTTGCCTATTTTTTTTTTTTGGTTTTGTTTTTTATACTAAAACTAAACTACTTTGAAATGTCTTTTTTGTTGTTGTTGTTGGTTTTAAGTTTGTTTTGAAAACTCTCACGGGGCAGAAAGGAATTTAGCCATGAATGCCACTCTTTCTCAAAACATGGAGTAGTAGACTGCCCATGCCGAACAACACAAATTAAAGGGTGAAAGGTGGTATTTACCGAAGAGTCTGCTGAATATTAATTGTGACTTAATTTAGGGGTAAACATCTCCGATGTAGCAATTACAAGGAATTAGGATAGTAAGAGGAGAAAAAAAAAACTCTAAAGCCCCGCCACCAGGCAAGATCCTCTCCTTACCCTGAGCCTGACCTTCTAACAGACAAGAGTAAGGACAATGTGTGTGCAGGGCCACACCCACACCCTGAAGCTTACTGCCCCTGGGAACACATCCCACAAAACCCCCAGTGTCACCAACTTTTCCAGCATCACTTCATCACATCATGTGAGGATACAGACATCTTATGGTAGGGAATATGGCCTTAGTACACCCTCTTCCCTTGGGATTCCATGAAAAGCCAAGAAAAGGGGGCTGAGAAACAGTCCAAAGACAACTGGCCATCTGGCTGACAAGTTAAAAAATAAAATATGTTGTGATGTCCAAAGAGACTGGTTCTCAAAAGCTTCCCCAGGAGGTACTACACGGGCAGGCCAATGGGCTCCACCAGACTGCGCTTCTGAGCAGGGGTCATTGGAATCAGCTGGTCTGTCTGTACACCAACTCTCTTGAAAGACAGCAGAACGGAAGGAGATAATGGACATGCTATCCTACTGGGCTGTGTTCAAATTCTGGCCTCTGAGCACATTCTATAATCCTTGTGAGCATTTCATTTTTGTTCTTCTAAATATGGATCCCTCATCTCTGAACCCTTTGGGTTGTTCTGAACATGAGTTCCGTACAGAGAAAGCTCAGTGCAGCAGCTAATGAATGCTTCATGGAGGTTAAAAATACCTGCTGCAATTTTTTTTTTAAAGAAGAAATTAAATCAGTCTAGTCTACACTGGCTGGGTATATCTTTGGAATCAGGATCCACATAATGGGGTGTAATAGAGTCAGCTGTGAGTCTGGGTGGGGAGAGAAATAAGCCCCCGGTTTTAAAGACTAGAACAGGGCAGACAGCACAGGGAAGATGGTGTCTAACTCTGATAGATTCATCTCTGGGCCTGACTGTATCTTGCCCTCAGCCCTGGGCAACTGATTTTTCTCCATCGGATGATATCTGTCACCCTCTCTTCTATTATCCAAGCCTCAAGTTGGGTTTTAGACACAGTGTGGAAGCTAAGAACTCATGCACTGCTCCAACACCACCGACAAATGTCGACGACAAGGCACTCGACCACTCAATGTCTGTACAGACAAACCCCAGGGAGATCCAGCGCATGCTTTTGTCAGAGAGAAGGGAGCAGAGTTTGGGGTTCCCTCACCATCTTCCTTCTGCCTGCTGTCAGGAAGACTGTTTTCAGGGCAATCTGGCAGCTCTTGTTAGTGACACACAGTAGTCCACTGAAATGAGTGAGGGGAAATACGTAAATGTGCTACAGTTATTAGAGACAGATGAGGAGAAGGTGTGAGCCATTTATTTGCTTGGACAGAAATAAAAATCACTGTGGCTCTGGGTCCCCTTGACTTATGTACTGTAATTGGGGAAACTGAGGTACACAGGATGGACACCTGTAAGGCCACAGCGCCAAGAAAGGACAGAAGTAAGGCTGGAATCCTGCTTTATAATGCTGGCTCTAACTTTACCCAAAGGGACTGATCTTCAAACTCTGCTGGGACCTTCCCCGAATGACAAACGTCTTCCCCTCTACCACTCCTCGCCCTGACTTAGGACACCACTGACACAGGAGTGGGATGGACAGTGGTAGCAGGTGACCCACCTGAGGAGCAGGAGGGATTGAGATGTCCCCAAGGAGACCACCACTAAACTCTGAGGTTTCAGTGAAGCCTGCTAAGCCACCTCTCAAGAGAGGACACGGGAAGTCTGGGCTTTTGATGGGCCACAAGGGTGCGTGTAAAAGCAAAGGAGTCTGGGTGACCCTGCTCTTCCATGGACTTCAACAGTGACTATCTCCCTTTCAGAGCAAGCTTTTATGCAGCAAAGACCCAACAGACAAACCCCACTTTGACAGACAGCACCCAGTTACACTGCTCCCTTAACTGCACACGATCAGAGCAAGATGGAATAAGGCGTCAGAAATCAAACCCACACACCCTGAACAGGAGTCTCTGGAAGGAAGGAATGCAACTCCAACTCTTCCACCAACCTGGTCAGCTGCCAAGTGGAAACGCTGTACCCAGTCCAGACATTCACATGCCTTCTGAATTCAGCCCTGGGACAAACTGGTGAAGATTTCTCAACCATCAACTGCCATGTTCAGCTGGTGGGTGACCCACGGTTCATTTCACCCCAACTCAAGAATTTCCCTACTTTTATTGTGTTCCTTCATCATCTTAACATTCCTCACATGTTGTTATTAAAGACTCTCTTGACATTTAAAGCAGACACATACTAATAGTCAGTCATAGTCTCGGAATCCTAATGCTTGCAGACTTAGGCAGGATTTTAAATTATGAAAAAAATCAGTGCCTTGGTTTTCAAAGAAGGACGTGGAAGTGAGAAACCCAAACGCTCGCTCGCTCTCCCTTTCTCTGGCTCCAGCCTCAAGGCCCCGGCCACAGGAGGTCACAGTAATGCTGGGCCTTTGCTGTCCCTGACACTCTCTGAGCTTGCTCAGGAGAGGCAAGAGGTTCTGTGGGGCTGCTGCTATGAGGAGATGTCCTGAGCATGGCCACAAAAGTGGTTAGAAAGGGCCAAAGGGGGACACATTACAGATCATATATTTGCTGAAATCTAGGAAGCCGGTGTGATTACAAATAGCCCCGCTAATGGTGGGGTAATCACATGCAAAGCCCATACTGTAATTAATTTGTGTTAGGATTAATGTCTCCCCCTGCTACTGAAACCTGTGCACTTTTCTCTCTGCTGACACTTCTGGAGAGCTTACAGTTCCCAGTGTGGTCAAGTTATCCAACTTCCCCTTGGTTCCCGAGTCACTGGGCAGGATGCCTTGGGAAGGAGCTCTGGGAGGCAGGCAAGGAACATGGTGTCATAGCCAAATGTTCAGTCTAGCAACTGGCTCCTGAATGGGTAAGATCAGAATCCTATGGACAAAGGAAGAGACTCCGGGCAATACTGCAGGCAGGTGGCACCTTCAATTAAATGGTGACCAGCCTGGCATGGGGAGGTGGGCTTTTTCTATCATTCACCACTACCTTGAAACAGATTAACCTGATGGTTTAAACTAGTGGTTCTCAACCTGTGGTCCACAACCCCTTTGGGGGTTGAAGGACGCTTTCACAGGTGTTGCCTAAGGCCATCCCGCATATCAGATATTTACATTACAACTCATAACA